GTGACTCGTTTTCTATTTAATTGATTTTTGTGTAAAACAGATGGAAGTTGCCTTGTATATCTGTATCATTTTTATCTTAATTTTTAATGATGTTTAAGTTTCCATAGAACCCGTGATTAATTTAAAAAGAAATTTGTCTTTCTACTTAAATCGTGAGTCGTTTATTCTGGCTTTTTCCTGTTTCATTTCCGTATTTTTGCACTTTAATTCGAATATTTCCACGTGCGTAAGGATCTTTGGATTTCTTCGAAGCTGGAAAGAAAAAAAAGAAAATTGTCTTCACACGTTGTGACCGATTCTTTTAAAGTTTCTCAGAATTCCTTTCATTTAATTTTGTTTCTTACTCTTTTCGCACGGGAGTAAACTTCAGCTTCTTTCAATTCATCAGTTTTTAAACTTGTCGTTATCGAAATCATTCATAAAAAATTTGATCTTCAGATTTCTTTCAAATTATCAATTGATTAAAAAACAGAAAAAAAATTCTTCTTCGTAGCACATATTCAACGTATTCGCGAGTTACTCAATTTATTTCTCACGAGACTAAATTTCCACTTCTCACTCTCTCTCTCTTCTTTATTAATTCCTAAATTTTCTTTCAAACCCCATCGTTCTGCTCTCGCGTCGCAATAACGATAATTGCGACCACTCGAAGACTCCACCCTCGCAATCTGCGGAGACTCGCCGGCAAAGATCCTTTTGCAAAACGGTCGTCGGTGCACGTATGACGGCTACATTAAGACAAAGTATCCCGTTCTTTATCTCTCGTTCGACCTTCCCCGCTGTCCTCGTCGCTCGTGTTGCACCCTCGAACAGCCCCCAAGCGCCGCGCAACCCCCGGTATTCCTCCGGTGCTAAACGCAACTACACGAGGGACCTTTCTGCCGTCTTTGTTTTCCCTTTCTTCCCAGTGTCGTTTTGCAGTCTCGTGCGGGGAGGTCGTTGAACGACGGAAGCAGGGAAGTCTCGGCCGAAGGAAGCGAAAAGAAAAGACAATCGAACGCGGAGGCGTTCGAAGGAAGCTAAGAGGCGACCTCGTTATCGGTGTGCCGGCCGACCGCAACGTGGAAACGATCCAGCCGACCCCGCGCACTAATTACAGGACGAGTTCCTTTTATTTCCGCTCTTCCTTTTCGGCGTTTGGAAACCACGCTGGCGAGTCGTGCGGCTGTTTCGGTGTTCAACGTTCAGTGAGCATGGATGAGAAGACTTTGGATTAAATAACCGCGAGTGAATTACGATGAGTTACTACGCGTGTACGCATAACAGCGGTGGTATTCGAGAGTATTTGAACTTCGAACGATAAAAATATAAATAAGTGTTGTTTTTGATTTTTTGAGGTAATCTTGTAACTAGACTGCGGATTGTTACGTGCATTTTTCCCTTGTGAAACATTTAAGTGTTCAGAAATTTACGGGATGCTTGTTATATGCAAAAATCACTGCGTAAGTTTCAATGAAGAATAACTTACACTGATTTCCAAACTTTTCGTATAAAAGATATTCCAAAGTATGAAAGCAGAATGTCAAAAGTAACTTTCACCAAGGGCTATCGAGTTCTCTTAACAATTTACGACCGCTGAGGATTACATGACACCATAGTCAAGTTATTGGTTATTGAAGTTGAAAATCATATGACGCCACAATCATGTGTCGTTAGTTATTAACGCTGAGAACTACGTCATTAGTTATTAAAGTTGAAGATTATACGACGGTCTAGTCACGTCATTGGTTATTAACATTGAAAGTAGTATGACACCACAGTCACGTTATCAGTTATTAAAGTTAAAATTGAAAAATCAGACGGCGTTAGAGTGTTAATCACCTTGAGAACGGGCAAAGGAGCATAAGTTAGTATTCTGCAGTTCTGCAGAAAAGTACTTGTAACATCAGGTATTAGATATTTAACGTGAAAGTTTCATCCTTTAATTACAATTAGACTGTGTGGATTTCTTATGCAGTTTTATACTTTGAAGAACCAAACTAACAAGCATCTTACTTATTTTATTCTATTTTTGCATATTGCATAGTGCATTCTCTGCGTTTATGCATCCTCAAAATTTTCCAAATTCGCAGTCTGCTTGCAACTACTCAAAAGCATCAAGCATCAAGAATTGAATTGAAGGACGATATACGTCGAATCCAAGGAACTATAACTCGGTCACTGTTCCAGTGTTCTGAAAGACAGTGGAACATTCAAGCCACGGAAATGACACCACGTACCTAAACATCCCGCGACCATCCCCACACGATGAATCGTTTCGCCAATCCGACAGATCAACCCTCTCAACCGGAGTCCTCCAGTGCCTCAATGAATCCCATAACTCGAGACACGCGGAAACAGACGAAGCTTCGACCGAACATGACCTCGTGACTAATCATCGCGCACCGATTTCGCGATGAACTAAGTTCAAGTGTCATCAGCAAGCCTCCGTCGGTGGTGGAGAAGCGAAAGAAAATTCCATTGTGCCCGAAACGTGGAGGTGGGATTCTTCGAGGGGCAAAAGGCATTCCTCGGCGATTCTACTCGAACTGGTGACAAACTCTGGCCGAACAGAGGGGACGTGGCGGTGGGAAAAAGAGAGGCAACGGGTGTTGTCATCGGTCCGCGGCGATCAGCAGGAGTACAGCATCAGGATCGTGGAAGAGGGTGCACAGCAGGAGAGAGAGATTTTTCCCCACCGCTTGGAAAAACCAACCCCCACCAGTCGCTTAGTACGGCCAGGCGGCGGTGGCGGCGGCGTGGAAGAGAGGCACGGAGGGGTAGGTTAGCCAGGGTGGTCTCGGTGGTGGCTGGGGGCGGCAGCCTCAAAAATACACCGCAACCACACCGCGCGGCTCCACCGCAGAAGCCGCCATCTTCCACCGCCGAACCGAAACGAGACCGCGCGAGTTAAACACCCTATCCTACTTCCCCGTGGAAGTTGCCGCTGCCACCCGCCGAAGTACCAGCCACGAAGAAGTGTCTCTCGCCTTCTGGTACCGTGCGTCACCGCTGACAACCGACGAAACCAGCGGAATTTACGATTTCCGCTCCAATCGTGCCGCGCCAAACTGCAAACCTGTCGCGCGAGTGTAGTAAGGAAGAACTGAGAGCAAGGAGGGATCGATCGATCGACAGTTACGGGGGAGTATCTTGGTACGATCGATTGGTGAAATATTTGGTTTCTCTCTTGTTGTGTTTTGTTACGTTTTTTGAAGAACTGGCACGGGGAAGAGTTTCCTCGAACCGCGCTGAACTGCGAGTTTGGTTCTTCGATGTAGTCACACAATAAGGCAGGATTGATCGATTAACAGTTACGGAAATATACTTGTGACAGTTATAACGTTTGCTTCGAATAGAAAAGGATTGGTCGATTGACAGTTACAGGAGAAGTATCACGGCGACACTTATGATTTTTATTTGTCGTGTCGCTGTATTTTCAACGAAGAAATCAAGAGTGAAGAAGACTATTACGAAAATATATCTCCACACTCCGTCTCTTATCACTGAGAGAAATTTTTAAAGAAGTAGCGTTGTGGAGATTTTCGAAGAAGCTAGAAGAATGTGACAAGACACTGGAAAAGATTGATCGATTGACAGCTACGAGAAAGCCTTTTTGCACATCTTCTTTTCTGCTGTTGTACTTCACAGTTTACCTACTGTAATTTATAATTCTCTTTCGAATTACTGCGTTTTCGAGGAAGTCAGAAAAATTTGGTGAGAATAAGATTGATCACGGAAGATTGTCATTGAGACGACAAGAAAGGGATATTTGGTAAAAAGAAAATTACTTTAGACTGATTTTCTACTCGTAACTATTACTATTAGGAAAAGTGCGTTGTACGGTGATTGATTTAATACTCGTTCCTTCGAAGCTTCGAAAAATGGATCCTTGAATCTCCAATCTTAAATACGAAGTGATCGAAATGACTGATTTGATAGTCGTTCAACCTACTAAAATTCCATAAAACTTCGAACCCTTCGTCTCGAGTAAAGACGAAATGATCGAGATGACTGATCTGATACTCACTCGATCTTCGAGCACTGGAGCCTCAAATCACTCGTAAAAACCCACGCGAAGTGAGTGCTCGAGCCCTTTTAAAACGTTGAAAAAGTGAATCGTTGAATCATCCATCTTAATAACAAAATCTGGTGTCTCCAGGAAGATCAGCACCATCGGCGAGAATAATGTGCGAACATGAGGTTTGTGCCGCGGTCTGGCTGGGAGGATCTCGGCTGCAGAGTTAACACCTGTTAGATAGTCGGGCAGAAGTGCTGATGTGACAGAAACGTGGGATAAATTTCGATCGACCGCGGGGACACTGGGAGGCCAGATTTTTCACCGTGCGTGGTGTCATTATCACCGGGCCATCCGTTATTAATTCCACGAGACACGCGAGTAACAGTTAGGGTAGCCGGGGGTGGTAGTTTCGACGAGTAGCTTCCGTCGAATCGACGAGCGGGGAATCGCATCTCGATCAAAGAAACGAGGAAAACGTCGAGGGGCCGACGTCGGGATTCCAATAAAACGAATTTTCTCCGCGAGTTGGCAATCGAGAGGAACGCAGAGGAAGAATTTGCAAACGGATGCTCTTATTTCGGCCCCGTCGCGGGATAATGAAATAAGGATCAAAGGATCGCGGGCCACGCGGGGCCGGCCAAGTTGCGCGCGTGCCGCCGAGGCAACCGGAAATCCCTCTTTAACCAGCTGCTGCTGGAATAATCATCGTCATTCATCTACTCTATTAATCTGATCTTGTCAGAGAGAGAGAGAGAGAGAGAGAGCCGAATTATCATTGAACTACGTTGAACTTGACACTGTATACCTTGGTTATTGTTAATATATCATTGGATGTATTGGATGTTATTGGATGCACTGGACGCTTTTTGATACTTTTAATTGTAAAGGATAGAAAGTAAGGAAGATAGAGAAAATTTAATTTTTCATCGGAAACGTGAAGGATAACGATCAGTAGAGAAAGAGTTGGCTACTATTTTGATTGTTGTTAATATATTATTGAATGAATGCACAGGACACAATATTTTATCGAACGTATGATGAATGGAAATTGATAAAAGAAATCATTGAATATCTTTGATATATCATTGGATATCATTCAACATTATTGAGTACATTGGATATATCATTGGATACGTTGAAAATCATTGGAAATCATATTTTAATTAATGTATCATTGAATATTATTGGATACACTTGATAGAATATCATTGGACACGCTGGGCATCGAACTGAATATATCGAACATCACTTTAATCAGAAAAGACAGGGATAATACAGACAGAAAGATTCGATTTATCATCGAGCGTACGATGGATGGAGATATAATATAATATAATAAAGGAAGAGTGGAGCGATTGAGTTGAAAAAAATTGAGTCGAATTCATCGAGGTTCGTCGGCGAGGAGGATCTTTCCGGTAGAGAGTCCAATGAACCCGTTCTCATGACGAATCCTTTACGAGATGCGCGCCCCGAGGATCGGCCTCTAGGCTTAGACTATCCGGATCCGAGATTAGTGCGAAACGGTCATCAGGAGCATCAGGAGAACTCGACACATCAGCTTGCTGGCACGAGAATCAGGAGAACCAGGACCTCGTCGTCGAGAAGAAGAATGCACCTGGCCAACGAGGTCCCACCACAAGGATCCACTGGCGGAAATAATATACCGGATTATGCGCTCACCGCTGATCTGCTCGCCGAGAGGACCTTGGATGGCTTGTTTGCCGAACATCCTGGCGAACTTGTGCGAACAGGTAAGAAATGTCGAGTGATTTATGCCTAGAAATACTTTCAATTTGATCCTATCGAGTTAATTAAAGTGTAGACTTCTTAATCTTTTTGTGTGGTAATTCATTGTTAATATTTAGGTCATTTTTGAGACTCTGATATTCGTAGTTTTCTTAATTTTCTTTTTTTTTCATAGGAGAACTGATAATTCTTAGATCTATTAGATTTTAATGGTTTTTAAAATTTTATTTGACATTAATAATTTATTTCCAAGTCTAATTAATTAATTAAGTTCAAATACGAAGATATCGGTTCGAGGTTCGAAAGCGTGGTTCTTTTAATTTTATTTTTCATAAGAGCTGACAATCCTTCTTTGCTGGATTTTATTTTCTTTTATTAGTTATTCTTTTAGTAGTTTAATGTCGAAAAATTTAACAATTTGAGGTTTATAACAAGCAAAAATTTAATAGTTTAGACAGTTTCTAAGATTTCGTGCACTTGTACGAAAATATATACAACAAAATTGAATGATTTTTGCTTAAAAAGCAAATTCCTTGAATTTCAATTTCAGTTTCATTGTATTTTAATATCACAGATCTATTATCGACGAAATCATAATTCAACAATTATTTTCTTTAAATTTTAACTTTCGTGTTCTCCACATTCAGTCCATTCTAACTTGTAAGAGAATTAGAATCATAAAATGAATTCTCTATATTAATTCCATAAATTAATTACAATTTATCGATCGGTAATTGTCAACAGGCTCCCCGCACGTGGTCTGTACGGTGCTACCAGCACATTGGCGGTCAAACAAGACACTTCCGGTAGCGTTCAAAGTAGTAGCCCTGGGCGAGGTCGGTGACGGAACTCTGGTGACAGTGCGTGCCGGAAATGATGAAAATTGCTGCGCGGAACTGCGAAATTCCACGGCGGTTATGAAGAACCAGGTGGCGAAATTCAACGATCTCAGGTTCGTCGGGAGAAGTGGTAGAGGTAAGATACTTCTATATTTTATTATTCATAGTTTTCTTATTCGTTTCAACGAATATTTTCATCGCATCGTAATCCCATTCTCAGAAGAATTATATCTTTTCACAAGTGTTTTTTTAATTTTTTATTATAGGAAGATATTACGACTGTTGTTATATTACTTATCATAAAAGAATTAAATTTTATATGAATAGTATTTATAATTGTCATTTTTTCATGAATTTCGATATATGGAGTTAGCGAAAGTATTTGAACGTTTATCATATAATAATTTTTATGTATTGTATATTTTTATCTATATAAGTGTTTTATATAAAGTACTTTGAAATATCATTGATATCATAATGAGATGTAGCTACAAAAAATTTCGAAACCAATCTGAAAACGTACGTAGAAGTTGCAATATATTTATTGTATTTATTACAGAGAAGAAACAAAAATATCTTGCAATTTTTATATACATTTTTAGTTTTGTTCCAAAACTTGATCGATTCTCATTGTTAATAAAATAATACATTCGTAAAATCTTTCTGTAAATATTTCACGATCTTTCACGAGCGCCCATAATAATCAGGAAGAAGAACTATAGTTGAGAATAAAATATTCAGAACGTCATAAAACGATCATCATCGAAATCCCAAAATGTTTCATAAAACAGAATATATTTGCAAAACATGCCAAGAAATGTTCGAATACTTTCACGAGCATCTATAACGGCAAAGAAGCAGAACTATAGTGAACAAAAAGTATCCAAAGAGACATGGAAGGAAGAAAATTTTTCGAGATCTAACCATCGGCTCTCAATTCCTGCGACTCCCATCGGGAATCCCTCGCGCGTCGAGTGGTCTTCAGGCGAGCAGACAATTAAGCGGGGGCCACGGGAAGAGCGATTGAAAAAATTCGATCAACCGTAGCGGATCCTTCGCTGGGCGAAATCTTCTTCGCTAGGGTGGCGTCTTAAATCATTCAGTAGTCGGTACATTAAGGTGGTGGGCCGACTGATGGCCTCGTTTTTCCTCGGACGCGAGGCGAGCAGTGCCAGCTGGCCCCCCCTTCGTTTCATCCTCATTTTTAATTCAACCGGCAAACACAGTGTCGTCGTCCCTGATGCGACTACCGATATCTCGGCCGGTCGTCGTCGCGCAGATTTTTTAATTCCCGTCTCCCGCGACTTAATAATTCAGCCGTTCGTTCGACAAACTGAAGAAAAAGGGAGATACATACATATATATATATATATAAGAAGGAAAATTGGGGAATCATAGGTTAGAGTTGAATAATCACCGTCATTATGAACTCTTAATATAAGTTTGAGATCTTTTTTTTTTTTTTATTACATGATGTATGATAGATTAAAAGCATTTTTTTCATTGAAATGTCTTTACGTGTTAAATTAAAATAAATTATATTAAATTAATATTAAATTAATATCGCACGATAAGCACCTCAATGATATAGTGTAAAGTAATTACGAAAGGAAAAGATTTTCGACAATTTTAATTATCACAGAAGGGGCCACATAAATTAGAACCATAAATTAATATTTGTATTATTGATATACATATAAATCCCAGAAATCAGTAGATATTTATAACATTTACCAGTAATCATTATATAACTTATTATGTAATTTTCATCATATAAATTAATGGATATTCGTAATACTTGTTAGCATTGAGATTCATTATACAATTTCCATTACATATATATATATATATAAATATTAATATTATTATTCATTATCTTCCGTCACTATTCAAATATATTAATATGTGAATTCAAATTGTTATTTCTATTCATCGTAAGCCGTAAATAAAAAAAGAGGAGGAAAAAAGAAGATCAGGGGCCCATAAGTTGGAGGTTGAATAATGCACCCTAATAATCACCGTCATTACGAGCTCTTAATGCAAACTGTTCCTCTCGCGACTGACGGACCGAGCCAACGAAGAAGAAGGAACTTGCTTACCCTGCGTTCTAT